CCACAGCTAACAGGTTTCATAGGATGAAAAATTGGATGAAGATACTAGACTTAAAAAGTAAGGAAAGTCTTTAACATAAGACAAAAGAAAATGTTGTTGAACATTTAGGTACATTTAAGTATAGAAAGCACATATTCCGTTATTAATCTTCTACTTGCAGATCCCTGAATGTCACGTTTAATAAACGCTAAAAATGAACTAACTGCATCATTCAAAATATAAGGAATTTTTCCCATATTTATGCTAAGATGAGAATGAAGGTATGTGCTTTAGTTGGGTGCTTTTGGACACTCTGTACGTCATTACTAAGTAATCCTTAACATAGACGAAAAGAACAGATTAAAAGCACTGAAGAAAATTCAGGAGAGCTGCAGGGCAGAGCCATTAGACCTAGACAATTAATGACATTACAAACTTAACTGGCCTGAAAGCAAAAAAGGTCTTTTTTAGGACTTTTTAAGGTCAGGTGGAATGAGTCCTCATTCTGTTAAGGATTTGGCGGTGAGCTTTACTTATGTGGGATGGTCAGAACATTTTGTTATGAAATTCCTGTTTCATTGGTTTTTTTTTATTATTTGCAGATTTTGAGGGTAGCTTTAATATTTAAATTATTAAGGGTTAAAGTATTGGAAGAACGAAAAAATCTGCGCAGAAGCATCAATATTGAATATCAGTATTGAAAATTTTCCATGGGTGATCTGGAGTATGAACTTTGCAAAACACACAGGAAACTTGGCAACTCAATGGCAAGTTCCAATACCATGTCCAATTCCTGCCAATGTGACTAAGAAAGGAAAGACTCACAAAGCCATGGCAAAAACTGAATGTAGTTAAAAAAATATTGGTTCATTCAGTTGGTTCATTCCTGATTGGGTTTAGGCAATGAGACTGGCCAAAGAGGAGAACACATAGACTATTACGTCTGTCATTAAAGCCTTTTATTTGTATAGTCATGGACACAGAATGCCTATATTTATATATTCTGATGTAAACACTGTACTATTTCATTTAATTTCCTCTTATTCAGCCAAAACCTGTTTACTAGATCAAGAAGTTCCTTCAGCAAACCATTTAAAAACGTAAAAAAAAGAATAAATAGAAAAGAGTAGAATATTAGAAAAGAGAAGATCGGCTCCACAGTCTAAATGTTGTGCTTCTTTTCTTCTGTTTTGAGCATGGAATAAACCTTTACTTGTTCCTATTCTTTTTGCCTTGATCCCAGGAGTTAGCTTTAGCTGGTTCTCTTTTCAGGAGTCCCACAGTCTATGGTCATCACCTGGACCACTTTCGATAAAGCAGAATCCTGGGTGGAGTATGGAGTCTGGGGAGGAAAGCTCTTTGAGCTGACTGCCAAAGGCAGCTACACTCTTTTTGAAGATGGTGGCAAGGAGAAGAGAAAACTACACATTCATCGGGTGACACTTACAGACCTCAAGCCAGGCTCCACCTATGGTACTGTATGTTTACAAAATTGCCTAGAAATGGATTGGGGTGCTGTCTGGCAAACTGTGTAATATGGGGAGAGAGTTAATCGTTGTATTCTCAGCACTGAGAGACTGCCAGGCAGAGGGAAGAATGGTTTTCAAGTAACAGGCATCCACTAAAAAGAACATTGCATGAGCTGTGGCTGGTTCACCACAAACAGATCACTTTTACTTGAAACCCTTTCGAATCGCATTTACATAACTACACGTGCATGGAAAGAAATGTGCCTCAAGGCTCTGGTTTTCAAAATATTTAGACACGTGTACCCTTCCCCATGTCCTGCTTGTTTATTGTTTAATATGATGGGTGTCATCTTTCAACTGTATTATTTTTATATGGTTCAGCAGAATTATTCTTCCTTTTCTGTACTTTCTGGCCCCAGCCGTTTAATATGGTGAGACATTTAAGCACATTTAGCTTTACTCAGACCTTTCTGTTTGCTTTTATTTGAATCAGGAAAAAGGAAGAGTGGGAAAATATAATTCAGCTGCAGCTCTGTAGATCCACACACTGTCTAAATAGTGATTTTCATGGTATACAGTACATACTATAAACCAGGGGTAATCAGTCTTTGTCCTGAAAGGTTTGCATGGCAGCTTTATAGCAGCAGCACCTGAAGAGCTGGGAGAAGCTGTTAAATTGCTCCAGTAAAGCTTGTAACCTGCTGGCTTGGCTAACTTGGAGAAAATGAAAATCTGTAGACATACTGGTCCCACAGGACTAGAATTGGAAAGCCCTGCTTTTAAACAGATTTTGAGTTACTCTGGAGTGTAACACACCTGGACACTAAATACACTATACAGTAGCTAGACCTTACAAACAGCAAGAAACACCAAGAAGAGTGTAAAAGATGGCATTTGCCTTTGTGTCCATATTTCAGTTAATATCTAAACCCAGTGCATCTAAAGACCATTCACCAGTAATAATATTATATCACATTTCCTTTGTGTTTGGATGATTTTATCAGACTATTCCGGAGGTGTACACTAGATGGCAGTTTTATAGTATGTAATCAAATGTATTTTGTGTGTTTCATAGCTATTATTCCCCATGGCTACTTACTAACCTACAATTTACAGTTTGCAAAAACATTACCCTCTGTATTTTTAATTGAATGTTTAGATAGATATATACAGTATATATATGCATTGTGAAAAAGGACAACATGGTGGTGTGGCTGCTCGTAGTGTTCTAGTTTCTTCCCACCTCCCAGAGATTAGTTTGTTAGGTTAATTGTGTCTCTAAGTGCCTTTAATTGGTGCCTGTGTGTTTACTTGTGCCCTGTGATGAGCTGGTGTCCTGTCCAGGGTGCAGCCCCAGCCAGATACTATGTGCTTTACCCCTTATACTACTAGAATAAGAACTGGGTTGTCATAACCCTTGCCAGGAAAGAGCAGCTAAATGCTAATGGATGTGTATGTTTGACAACAGCCCAAAATGATTTTGGACTTGTTGGTTCTCACAATCTGTCTTGTTGAGATTTCTAATTATTCAAAAGTTTAAAAAAAGGAAAAACCTATCAGCCTTATTGAATGAAAACAATAACAAGCCAGAGTCTTCATTTGGATGTCAATTATTTGAGCCCTTGCATATACTGTATCTCGGGGCAACAGTGTGGAACTGTAGTTAGGGCTCTGGTTGGGGGTTCAAATCCCATGAGAGGCCATGCGTACCTTGCTGAGAAAGGTACTTTACTTAGATTGCTTCAGTAAATGCCCACTGCATAAATGAGTACAAATCGAAGTCACTTTGAATAAAAGTGTCAATCTTGAGACATCACTCAAAACACCATGCAAGGGAAGAATGTAAAGAATCCAGGGCTAAAGCATCATTTATTCGTGACTAACCAGAAGTAATTGTCTTTTTGCAGTTTATCACTGTGGTAGCAGTGACGGCTGGAGTGAGATGTTCTACTTCACTGCAATGAAAAGTGGCACCGAATGGAGCCCTAAGTTTGCACTATTTGGTGACCTGGGCAATGAGAACCCCCAGTCTTTAGCCAGGCTTCAGAAGGAAACTCAGATGGGAATGTATGATATCATCCTTCATATTGGTAAGGGTCATTTCAATAACTAGCTGTAAGTGTTATGGTACACTGTGCTTAGGTCATTAAGATCTGTAGAATGTTTATATATATTGGTGTTATGTCAACATAACTTGCGTAGCCAAAAAACTAAAAATAATAATTGAAATTGGAATTTAATCTATATATCTGAGAGGCATTAAAACACAAGAAATCAGTACTGGAGCCAATAGCATTGTTGCATTTTAAGGCCTCTCAGCATCATATAAGCCTTCTTGAAAGAGGTGATTAGCGAACATTTTAACACTGCATTTCCTATGCTCATTTAATACCACTATAAAAATGAATTATATCATTGATTTAAAAAATCACATGGTTTTCGTCTGGGTGCTCCGGTTTCCTCACATGCTGGTAGGTTAATTAGATTCAAGGAGATTAGGCCTGGTGTGAGTGTGTGCGTTACTGTGTTTGTGCCTGTGTGTGCCCTGCAATGGACCGACGTCCCATCATGGATTAAAACATTAATGGATAAATATTTTTTACATATTGTGGGCCACATATTTATACATATGTTGGCATTACCTAAGTGCCTAAAACCTAAATCACCCTTACTGTGAAAAAGTAATGTTTTTGAAGCAAAATATACCCGATACACTATGGTTAAAAGATAAACATTTTTGGGGAGCAGTGTAAAATAGTGGACAGGACTCTGGACTAAGAAATACAGTGTTCAGGTCCCAGGTGGGGAATTTCAGTTGTTTCCTTAAGCAAGGCACTTCACTCAGGCTGCTTTTGTATAATTCCTAACTTTATAAATACTTAGAGACAAGTTACTTTATATAAAGCATCAGCCAAACAAATCAATAATAATATTGAATTATATTATTATATGTTTTTGCTAATATGCACTTGTGCGTATCTGCTGACATTCGGAACATCTAATAAACACTGATAAAACTATGAATGCTAAAGGACTGTGATTTTCACATGCATAATAATCATTATTTGTGTTTTCCAGGTGATTTTGCCTATGACATGGATGAGGTAATGTTCTTCTCTTTTTTAATTGTTTTAAATAACTATATGTGCTGTTATTTTTGATTACATGTCTAGGAGCTCTCGTCTTTCGTCTCTAGTCTTCCAGCTGCTACTTTGTGAACAGTACGAAGCCATTTAAGTACAAGGGCACGTTTATTTTCAGTACTCAAGTACAGTACCATCGTACTACTCCATGCTCCATATTATGACAGGCTTCACAGAGCTTTGCATTCATTTGGTATGGCAAAAAAAGTGAGGCAACTTAAAATGGAACTGAAAACTTGTAGTTAGACAAAGGTATCCAAACAATCACTTCAAAGAGGAGAGCACATTGTTATAGTATACCCCTTTGAAATGTTTTGCCACATTTAGAAGGCATCCTGTTCCCTAGAATATTTAGGGACAACTAAGGGACAGATGTCTGCCCCAGAGAAACTAGTTTGCCCTACAATCTGGAATACGGATAACGTGAAATGTGATAAGAGATTCTTGTCATGTGGTTCATACTGTACTACTCACTCAATAGCAGCCTTGCCAGCATTGTCTTCTTGTACAATGGGAGATATACAGCAGTACAATAAGCCACAGTATCAGTAACAAGGGAGAGCAGGGGAAGAAGACTGTTTTATTAAAGTCTCCATTTACAATGCCTAAAACACTCTGACACAATGAAATTAGAGACCCAGAGTGCATTATTAAGTCCCAGTGAACACATTTAAAAAAGTAGCAAAATTGTGCTTGGCTTTCAAGATGTAAAGGAGACCATTCTGTCACCTGCATTTTTACAGTGTGTTATCATTATGTGTACAATTGGGTGTCTTAAGATGATGAATTAACTTAATAAAACTGTGTTTTCTACATTACCTTTGTTAACTTTAAAAATAAATAAATAAATGTGTAGAGGGAAAACAATACACCACCATAAAAGCACATAAATTAAGGATTATAACCTGGAGATTAATAATACAAAGCAGAGGTTACTAATGTGTTTGCCATTTGAATATGAACAACCTAGTTACAATTGACAAATTCATTTGGTATATTCTGATTAAGTGTTGAAAGACAAACAGTTTGGCCTTGCTTTATTCATGAATTACTACAGCATTCTAAACAGGACTTTGACAGAGTAACAGTTTGTGACTAAAACAAGTTGCCAGCCCTAGAGACTGCATTTAGAACTTTTATACACTGCACAAATAGGTGACAACTGCATCTCACCTTTGTCATCTGCTTTCAACAGCAATTAAATCTCTAAACAATTGCCCACCATTTCCTTGTCCGGGCAATGGAAGAAGATAACTAAAACTGCAATGTACCTTTCAAGGCTCGTCAATGCAGACACATTTTCTACGTATTCTACTTAATAAAATTGTCATGATCATTAAAGCATTCTAGCTGTATATGTTTGAGCTATTTTAGGGGAGCATGGGGACTCATCCATCCCTTTTAAATACTTGCTTAGTAAAACACAGCATTGCTATGCTATGAGCCTGAGTCGATAGACAACAGGGGAAAGATAGGACGCACGCTGGACAGAACAGCAGTCCCAAGCAGGGAAGACACTCACTCACACTCAAGAAAATTGCGGAGATGCCAATTAGCCAAGACAGCATGTATCTGGAGTGAGTGATGAAACCCACAGGGAGAACATGCAAACTCTAAACAGAAGGCAGCCATTGGGAATCGAAACCAAGACGCAAGAGCTGTAAGGCATCAGTGTTATGTGCGACTGTGCCAACCTGGGGGAAAATGATAAACTTCGTAAATTAGAATTGAGTTATTTAGTTTTTATTAGTGTTGAGTTAAATCACCCTTAAATCTGCGCAACATTAAGACATTCAAATTAAATTTGAATAGCTTATTATTCTGGACGTTTGGTGTGGTCTGAAATAATGATCAGTATTTCTTATTGCATTTGAAGGCATTGGCAGTTTGAGCAGCTCATCCACTGGAATGTATATTAAACCTGCTGGCTGTGCTCAATTACATTACACACACCAAGCACTATGATCTTCTTGAATTCTGAATTCTTCACATTTCCTTATTATGGTCAAATAAAATGTCTGAACATTGGTATTCTCATCTCCATTTTTATTTACAAAGGTCATAAAAGCCGAAACAGGAAAAAAGTCAGAGAATGGAAAAGTTATTTAAAAAAGACCACACGATCAATCTTACCACTGCAACCATTGCTTTATGCTGGAATGTCAAATACCGTTTTAGTCTTTCCTGTAGCTTAAAAATAGACCCTGGCAAATTTTGTCAGGACACCCAAAAAAATCAGATTTGCCACCAGGAATTTATTTCAATCATCGCTATTAAAATAGTTGTTAAATTAGCTGATCTAATTTCAGTGGATTTATATGGCATGTGAATATGATACTTTTAGAAGCAGGGTTTTAAAAGAAAATGACATTTGGTTTTGCACTCTTCGTTTGTTAAGTAAAGGAACCTTTTAGCAAAATACAGTGAGATCCTACAAAAAGCAAGGTAAAGCATAAAGAGCAAGGTTAAAACAGGATGCAAACCATTAAAATCTTTTACTATGGTAAACTTCATAAGGGGTTTTCATGCACAGCGATAGCCACAATATAAGGGAAAACCAGAAAAAACATTTAATGGAATCCAAAAATCTTAGAATTACAGTATATCTTGCATTTCAAAGCTATTTTTAGAAGTTTGGAGGAAGAGTGATCTGATGGAGATCATCCCAGATATGGTCTAATATTTGCTACTTGATGGTCTTCTAAGTTTATCTTCATCACGGGAATTCAATTTAGTATTAACTTTCACATTAATAACCCTCAGTTTATTATGTCATCTAATCTGTGGTGCTCTCTCATCTGTACAGTATGTTTTCATTTAAAATTTGGACACCATATTGCATTTTATACATATATCCTGCTCTGAAGGAGTCCAAAGACAACTGTAGTTACACGAAACAGAGACAAAATCTACCATTTATGTAAGGGGATAAACATGTATGGTAATAAGAAAGACAAGAAAGAAACTCTTTTGATCGAAACCATGCTCTTTGTTTTCCAATGCTTTATTATGTATTTACTTGTGCTTTTTTACAATTTACTCCACTTTTAACATCACAGCTCACATCTAATCTAACTAACCCCTTTGCAATGGCAAAAGACAAGCCATTCACAGTTGTGTGTGTGTGAATGAACACAAATAAAGAAGTATGTGATGAGGATATACAGTACTTTTGTGAAACTGTTTTATATTTGTGAATGTACAAAACAAAGGTATATTAAAAAAAGCTCTTTGTTATGATTGAGATGCTGTTTACTGTCATTCATCAGGACAATGCGAGAATTGGTGATGAGTTCATGAGGCAGATTCAAGCCATTGCAGCCTATGTCCCTTATATGACTTGTCCTGGAAATCATGAGAATGCATAGTAAGTACTTCAATACTTGGTCTATGTGCTTTTTCTTCAGATGTATCCTGTGATAGTGACTTTGGGCAGAAAAAAAGAAACACATATTTGACATTACAGGTTAGCAAAAATATAAGGAATAAAAGGTGTTTTATATCCTCCCACCAAATTGTCTTTGTAGTACATTTAAGAAAAGTTTTAGAACATTAAAATAGTATCAGGAAAGAAGAAAGCAGGATTAGATCAAATCATCGGAAAATGAAATTTTAAAATACAAATACATCTTTATTCACATTTAATACTGTCGTCACTTGGGGAGTAACTTGAGATCTTAAACTTTAAAGTCTTTCCTAAGCCTAAGTGGCAAATTGGACCATAGCTCATTCAACTGTCAGTATATTAAACCACCATGATTGTACCTAGATAGGTATTTCTCCTTATAACAGGAGGAATCAAGGTAAAATGCACTGGAAACATGACTCCAGAACCTTCTGATCATACATTTAAAGACCTAGACCCTATTACATGGTGCTTACTGTCTGTAAGAAGTGGAAGCACATTAAACCATTACTCAGCAGAGTGTAATAAGAAGCACTTCTTGGACATCCATTCTAACAATGGCACTGCAGCAGTTTCCACAAAGGAATAAGAACAAATAAAGCACTAAGGTCCATATACTTTGGGATATAATTACCACATCAAATACATAGTTATACACGTAAGAGTTTATAAGTGATTAATTATACTTACTACTTTTTAACAAAATCCTTAAACCTGTGGTAGCTGCAGGCTCAATTCGATTTACTCAATGATTATAGTTTCTTGATTGTAATGCAAGCAAGGCACACATATTGACTAGAAAGCAGTAACCTAATGGGTAAATGCGAGAGTATTAGGGAATTCACATGCAGTAGCTGTGGGTGGCTATGGGAACAGACTTTGGAGAGGTCTTACAGTACTTCTTTAGAAGTTTCTGAATACAGAATTATATTTCTTACTCTTATGAACATACCATCAGATACTACTCTCACAAGAACTTTATCTCTAGCATCTTTAGCAATAAAGGTGATCATGATGGTGAAAGGCGTAGTTTATACAGTATAATCAGGATTTTGCTGTAGTCTGTTTTTAAATTAATATTCCAGTATTTGTTCTGCACAACACATACACAAGATATTTACTAAATAATTACTAATTACATCAATATTGTAGTTTCATTAAGAACAAGTACCAGGAACTACATTAATTCATAGGAAAAGGCAGATGTGTTGCTTTTTAAAATCCTGTTGATAGGAGGGAATAAATGAGAGCTTTCATCTATGCCAGTAAAGAAAAGTTGCCAGTATTCATCTAATTGCTACTGGCTTCAACAGGGATTGACATAGCTCATCACGTTTCCTGTTTTTCACTCTCAGATCAATGAACTACACCCTATTATTTTTTTCTCTTAGCAAGAGAACAAATGTTGGGTTTGGCAATCATTACTTTTGTTTATCTTCCAATGGAAGAATAGTGTGATTTTTAATGGCCTATTTCGGTGCCTTGTAAGTCTATAAATAGTTACAGGCAGGCTTGCCAAAAACTTTATCATCTTTGAACCACTGATTCATCGCAATGTGGGGATTATGGCAATATAACATTTAGTATAAATGTGCATTATACTTTTCTATTACCACTGTTTCAGAAATTTGTTGTCATTTAGACAGGAAAAGATTTCAGTGATCTGCAATATGTTAGACAAATGATTTCAACACCTTTAGACAGGTATTAACTTATTAAGGATTGCCATCTTTAAGCCTGGATAACAGCACGTATCCTTCCCTACAAACACGTATTCATATAACGTAAATAGTTCCATCGCATTTGGTATTCTGATGGCATAACGTTTATCGTTTTAAGATTTTTAAGAATGTAGAAAAATGTGTGAAATAGAACAAGCAGGAAAATCTCAAACTCGGTATGGACTAGTTCATGCACAATGCTTTTAAAACACCTTTGGGAAAACTTTAAGAAGATTAATAAGGCTTTTCTTAAACCTCCTTCTACTACCAACAAGGTTAAGTGTTTCCTCTGGCTTACCATTGAACCAATTTGTCATGCCTTTACTAAGACAGGGTGCAGTTAGATCCAAGATATTTGACTTTGTGCTGGCAGAGACTTGAAAAGAACAGGTTATTTATAAATGTTGAGACTGATTACTATAGCAGACGTTTTCTTGATTTGTGTGGGGCAGGTTGTCCCCCAGATAGATCAGATAGTCACTACCAAAGCAATATTTTAAGTTTATGGAGCAGTCATGGATGGTGAAGGTCTGCAGTTATAGCTCCTCATATATTCAGAGCAAAAGGAAACATGACTACTTTAGTTTGAGTGGTTGGTTTGATTTTGTTTGATTGAGGCTTATTCTTTTTCCTCTGTTTGATGTTCTAAAATCATAAACACATGACTGAGCAGCAGAGCACAAATAACTATGTGTTTAAAAATATTAATTTTTCTGTAAGGGTGCCACATTCTTAAATGCAAAGGTAGGACAAGGACATGAGGACCAAAGTACCCTGAGCAGGAACTAAAACTCATGAGATCAGCATGAACTGTTCAGAAAGGAAATGTTTTTAGCTTTTGTGTTAAAAGATGAAAGGGAGAAAGTATACTTGGAAGCCCCAATAAAAGCTGGAAAACATAGATTCTTTGCCACTTAATAATAATAATAATAATAATAATAATAATTGCTTACACTTATATAGCACTTTTCTGGACACTCCACTCAAATCGCTTTACAGGTAATGGGGACTCCCCTCCACCACCACCAATGTGCAGCATCCACCTGGATGATGCGACGGCAGCCATAGTGTGCCAGAACGCTCACCACACATCAGCTGTCAGTGGGGAGGAGAGCAGAGTAATGAAGCCAATTCACAGATGGGGATTATTAGGAGGCCATGATTGGTAAGGGCCAATGGGAAATTTGGCCAGGACACCAGGACACCCCTACTCTTTTTGAGAAACGCCCTGGGATTTTTAATGACCACAGAGAGTCAGGACCTCGGTTTTACAACTCATCCGAAGGACGGCGCCTGTTTACAGTATAGTGTCCCTGTCACTATACTGGGGCATTAGGACCCACATAGACCACAGAGTGAGCGCCCCCTCCTGGCCCCAAATTTCAAATGACTAACACCTCTTCCAGCAACCTTGGATTTTCCCAGGATGTCTCCCATCCAGATACTGACCAGGCTCACACCTTCTTAGCTTCAGTGGGCTGCCAGTTGTGAGCTGCAGAGTGATATGGCTGCTGGCATAGTGCTGGCATTTGATTTTGTTTCCTCTGAATCTATAGCCTCCAACCAATCCGCATCTCACTATGTTAGATGTGAACACATTCATGATAATGCTGAAAACCAGATTATACTGTATGTACACAAAAGACTAAACACATTAAAATGAATCATGGAATAAATCTAATTACTGTTAAAGTGGCTAAATTCAGGGTATATTTCTTTTAACTCAGTGTCTGGTATATTCTTACTAGACGTCATTTTTGAAATTTTGAAATGTATATATGTATTATCTGTTTACTGTTTATTCTATCCTGTACATTGTTCTGTTTTCTGTTTTTAGCAATATAAAAGTCAACATAAAATGAATAGTTGACCAACAATACTGAGGGATTTCTGTGGGTTGAGACTGCAGTATTATGGAAAGGTATTGGTCATGGCAATACCAAGGGAAAGTCAAGAATAACTCTGGATTTTGCTCAAGAATCACAAGATATATGGGTTCCAAACTAAATACTGGTAAACTAAAGTCAGCATCTTGTATTTAGTACAGATTGTAAACCTCAAGGATTTCCTTCTGCATATAAACAAACAGTTAGCAGAACTGTGGTAAAATCTCCATCATGACAGTATTTTAAAGCATTTTCCGTACAATTATCTTCAGGAACATGCCAATCCATGGGTGATTATTTATATAAATAACCATTATTGTATCTGGTATTTTCATAATGAAATCCTTAATAATGCTAAAATGGAACTGCAGTCACAATTTCTCAGACTGGTTATTGAGTCTCGGTAACAAAATAATTTAATTGAGAGTATGGCAAAATTTTACAAATTTCAAATTAAGTGTAAAATCGTGAACTTTGTGAAAGAACTGTATGGTTGCCATGTTGTTGCAAGCAGAAGAGAAACTGCTGGTCTTGCCTGGGCAAGAGTGAGAGTTCATTTGAATTGTGACTTGAAATTAGCAAGCTCACTAATCACTGTAAACAAATGAGAAACATGGTCTCCTAGCAATATTTTTTACCTACTTGAGCTCACGTATATATTTTAAATTATGCCTTACTGTTGAAAATGTAACTGTTCAGAACACAGTAGAACACAAAACAGATCAGATCCCCAGAAAGTCAAACTGTTTCCTTTTTCAAGGGATATTCAAATAGCTAAGCAAAATAATAATAAGCATTGGAATTGATGTTGGTTCCATTGATAAGTTTCTCGACAAGATCCATCGTGATGTATGATCGAATAAGTACAAGTTGTGCAGCACACATTTCACCCCAGAAATGTCCGAACGTGATCTGCATACTGAATTAACAAGTAAGTAGTATTTGTTGGCCAAACTGTCTTGAAGTTGATACATTGAATTCAATTCAATTGCGCTCATCTGTTCAGGCAACAGCAAAGGCTGTGGTGCGGGAAAAATATAAATCCTGCTATAATGTTTCTTTTAGTTGTGATCTACCTTAAAATAATCACCCATGTAAATGATAGAACACTTTTACACTTTTGCAAAATCTAATAATGAATGCATATCTTTTTTTATTTAGTTGGCAGGTTGCTTTTTTTTTGCAATACAATACTTGCCTTGTACTGTATATGTCGGTTTCATGAAAATATTTTAAATTATAATGTGGTTGCAAAACTCACTTAACGTAAAGCAATGCAATACATTGTAAATACATGGTAATTACAATGTAGTAGGTCTGCTTTTGCATTACTGGACGTTTTGTTGCCTAGTTC